ATATTCTGTTTGTATTTTTCTCAGGTACTGTCAAAGAAAGCAAGAGATGGAAAATTGTTACCTGAAGAATACCAAGGAGGATCTTTTAGGTAAATTTTTTTGTGTGTGGCTATTGATTTTCCCCCCAAAATATCATGGGAGTACAAATGTTTTTGGTTACTCGGATCGCTTCTGTAATGCTTGAGTCAGAGTTATAAGTGTGCCACCACCCAATTAGTGTTCATTGTATCTCTTAGGTAGGTTTTTGCCCATGCCCTCTGCCCCCCTCCACTCTGCTTGATTTCCACTGAGTTTTACTTCCCTCTGTGCACATGTGTGCTCATCGGTTAGTTCCAATTATAATAGTGAGTGCATGTGGTGTTTGTTTTCCATTCTTTAGATGCTTCACTTAGAATAATGGTCTCCAGTTCCATCCAAATTATTACAAAAGGCATTGATTCATACTTCTTCGTGGCTGAGTAGTATTCCGTGGTATACATATACCAAACTTTGCTAATCCACTAATGAGTTGATGAGCACTTGGATTGATTCCTTATCTTTGCAATTGTGCTGCAGTAAACATTCGAGTACAGGTGTCTTTTTGGTTAAATGACTTCTTTTCTTTTGGGTAAATACTCAGTAGCGGGATTATTGGATCAAATGGTAGGTCTACTTTTAGTTCTTTGAGGAATCTCCATACTATTTTCCATAGAAGTTGTACTAATTTGCAGTCCCACCAACAATGTATAAGCGTTCATTTCTTTCTGCATCCACACCAGCATCTGTTGTTTTTGGACTTTTTATATAAGTCATTCTAACAGGGGTAAGGTGATATCTCATTGTGGTTTTAATTTTCATTTCCTGATTATTAGTGACACTGAGCATTTTTTCATGTTTATTGGTCATTTGTCTATGAAACACTGAGGAACGAAATCACAGATGACACAAACAAATGGAAAAACATACCATGATCATGAATCGGTAGAATCAACATTGTTAAAATGTCCATACTACCCAAATGATTTACAGATTCAAGCAATGCACATCAAAATACCAACGTCATATTTCACAGATCTAGAAAAAATAATTCTAAGCTTCGTTTAGAACCAGAAAAGAGCCAAAGCAGCCTTAAGCAAAAAGAACAAATCTGTAAGCATCACATTAACAGACTTCAAACTATACTACAAGACTATAGTAACCAAAATAGCATGGTATTGCCACAGAAATAGAGACATAAACCAATAGAACAGAACAGAGAACCCAGATATAAAACCATCCACATACAGCCAACTGATCTTTGACAAAGCAGACAATAATATACACTGGGGAGAAGAATCCCTATTCAGTAAATGGTGCTGGGAAAATTGAATAGCCACATGCAGAAAAACAGGATCCATCTCTGTCACCGCTCACAAGAATTAATTCAAGATGGATAAAAGACTTAAATGTGTAAGGCATGAAACCATAAGAATTCTAGAAGAAAATGTTGGAAAATCTCTTCTAGATACTGACCTGGGCAAAGAATTTTTGAAGAAGACCCCGATGGCAATCACAGCAACAACAAAAATAAAAAATGGGACTTGGTTAAATTAAAAGGCTTCTGCACAGCTAAGGAAATAATCAACAGAGCAAATAGACAACCTTCAGAATGGGAGAAAATATTTGCAAGCTATATATCCGATAAAGGGCTAATAACCAGAATCTACAAAGAACTCAAGCAAATCAACAAGAAAAAAACAACCCTATTAAAAAGTGGGCAAAAGACGTGAACAGAATATTTTCAAAATAAGACAAATGGCCAAGAAACATATGAAAAGAATGCTCAATGTCAGTAAACATCAGGTAAATTTAAACTCTTAATTATCAGTAGCATCAGACAGATAAATAATAAGACATTAATTCCATGTCAACCTGTTTCATTTATTTTTCTGAAATAGTTTTTAAATTTAAGCTAAATATCACATACTTTATTCAGACAACAGAACATATGAAAATATTCTTCAGACTAGTCAGGCTAGTTATATCAAAGCTAGTAGGAACCCATTAGTGTTGAACAAAACATTATTTGAATGGACATTGACTAGCATGTATTGACATTCAGGTTCTTAAACTTTTATTTTTTAAATAAATTTATAAGCACAATAGATTGTAAACCTTAGCTATTTTCTTTCTACTTGTGTTATCTTTTTTAGTTGTTATCAGCTCTATTTTCAAGTATAACTTACATAAAGTGCACTGAATATAGCTTAAATTTTTTACAAAGTGAAGAAACTGTGTAGCCACCCAAAGCAAGATAGAAAATATTACCAGCATCCCAGAAGCCTCCCTTTACCTCTCCTAATCATCACACCCCTCAAAGGTTACCACAGTTCTGAAAATGATCATTGTAGATTTGTTTGCTGGTTTTGATCTTTATATAAATATTACGTATTCTTTAGTATCTGGCCCCTCCCCCTGCATTAATGTCTGTGACATTATATTGTTATGCGAAGCAGCTGTTTATTTGTTATTGTTGCAGTATATAGTATTCTATTGGATAAATATATGAGAATCCATTTTACTGTTGGGCGTGTGGGGTGTTTCTAGTTTGGCACCATTACAAATAATGGTGCTATGAACATTCTTTTTAGTGTCTTGTGGTGAACATATGTACTTTTTTGTTGTCGTTGTATAGACCTAAAAGTAGAATTGCTGGGTTAAAAGCTCTAATAGATACTATCAAACAATTTTCCAAAATGGTTATACAAATTTACATTTCCATCAACAATGCATGAGAAATCCCATTGCTCCACATTCTTGCCAACATATAGTAATGTTAGGTTTTAAATTTTAATAATTCTTGGGGTATGTAGTGGTACTCTGTGGTCAGTGAAATGCAAATTAATGATATTACATACTTTTTCATTTATCAGCCATTTGAATATCTATCTGGTAACTCATCAGGTAAAGTACCTTTTGAAATCTTGTGTCCATTTACAAAAGTTACTCATAGGATTCCTTATTCCCAGATACACAGACATTGGTAGGCTATATATTATTTCAAATACCTTCCCCACTCTGTGGCTTACCTTTGGGACTCTCGGTGATTTTTTTAATGAAAGAAGTTCTGAATTTTAATGAATTACTATTTATCAGTATTTTTCTTTATAGTTGGTACTATTTGTTTTTGTTAGGAATTTTTTATGTCCCAGAATCATGAAGTTACTCTTCTGTGTTATCTTCTAGAAGCTTTCTGTCTGGATACTTTCCAGACAGCTCCTGTATACTGATCTTTTGTCTGATGTCTTGGCTAAATTACTTATTAATTTACTAGTTTATTTGTAGAGTCTTAGATTTTTCTATGTATACAATTAATTTGTGGATAATAATAGTTTTTCTTTTTTTAATTCTTATACCATGTATTTCTTTTTCTTGCCATATTCCACTGCCTAGGCACTCCAGTTCAATGCTGAATTAATGTTTAATAGTAGATATGATATTTCTGTGTGTGTTGCTACATGTTCTTTGGTCTTTGAGTAACTTGGTATAAAGTTCAGTAGCAAAGTTTTTAAGTAAAACTATATGCTTAAGGGAAAGGTACTTTGGTTAAGGACGTGCCACCTTCAGAGCTTTCATTTTCCCTCTAGTATTTCCAACTTGGGGATGTTTGGCATCGATGAATTTACTGCAGTGATCAACCCGCCTCAGGCCTGTATCCTGGCTGTTGGGAGATTTCGACCTGTGCTGAAGCTCACTGAGGATGAAGAGGGGAATGCCAAACTGCAGCAGCGCCAGCTTATAACAGTCACAATGTCAAGTGACAGTCGAGTGGTCGATGACGAACTGGCAACCAGGTTTCTTGAAAGTTTTAAAGCAAACCTAGAGAATCCTATCCGACTTGCCTAGTCCTCAAAGATGAGAAGTTGGTCTTTGGCTTAGTTAATTCAGTAGCTGTTACCAAGAAACATAACATTATAGAAAAACAACCAGGTATTTAAGTTTGAAGTGGATGAAATGTTTATTTATTTAAGGTGAAAACATTTGACCCAAGTTGTCATCATTTTCAACCTGAGTTTAATGTTGTAGAAATAAATGATGATAAACTAATGGAAGAAAGAGAACATTTGGTTAGTCAGATCCATTTTTAACCTCTGGTGCTGTACAAAAGGGGTATTAAAAACTAGATGTAAATCAAATTATATATTTGGCTCATTTGAGCATTTTAGAATATTTAAGAATGTATGATACATTGTAAAATCAAAAAATTGTTAGAACTCTATCTTAATTGAGTTGAAGTATGTGGTCTTCAGAGAGATGCCCACTAATTTAGCAGTGAGACCTCACTTTTATAAGCACTGCTCTAGATATACTTGAACAATTTAATATGTACAGTTCTGGATAATAGTAAATAAGGATCACATCGTATTAGGGGTTGTGGCAACATTATTGAATTTTTTATGTATATAAAGCTGTATGTTTTAGAGTGGTTTCTATCAGTCTTATATTTCACTTCTATAACACTGTGAACTTGTAAAGAATGGAAGAATAGAATAACAGAAGCAAGAATGGAGAGAGATGTTTCTAAAAAGTTGTATAGTTTAATGAAAAACTATAGCTAAAATATGTAAACCTTTTGAAATAAACTGCTTACTTTCATCCTGAGTTGGAATATATTTAAATAAACTGTGTTATCCTCTACCAAACATTTTAAGTTAGTGTTAATGTAAACACAAAATGTTATTTCTTAATGCATTTTAATCAATTTTGTATTGTGCAATAAAATGTGAGATAATACAAAAATTTCTTTTGGTTTTAAATGTTACGACACAGAAGTTTAGTTAAAACTTTGAAGTAGTTTAGTGTTTTTCTAGAGCATCTTAAAAGGGACTCTACAGAAGGAAAGAATGATTTTAAAATTAGTTTGACATTAGAAAAGTAACTGATAGGAAATGTAAAACTTCAGAAAGAGTGGAAAAGAAGACTTATGAAGCCAAACAGATGAGAACTGTCCTTTTTATTCCATTGGTAATATGAGCTGGGCCCAGTGGCTCATGCCTATAATCCCAGCACTTTGGGAGGCCCAAGTGGGAGAATCACAAACTAGCCAGGCAGGATAGGATGCACGTGTAATCCCAGTGATTCCAGAGGCTGAGGCAGAAGGATCTCGAGCCCAGGAGTGCAAGGTTGCAGTGAGCTGTGATCAGCCCACTGTACTCCAGTCTGGGTGACAGAGCAAAAAACTTGTCTCTTAAAAAAAAAAGATAATATGAAATTTTCACTAATCATTATAAAGGTTAGAAGAGCTCATTTCTCTCTCTTTTGGCAACTCTGCAATAACTGGCAAGATAGTTATTTAAATTGGATGGTAATTTAATTAACTAGTCACAGAAAGAGTCCTGTTAGTGTCAGCTGACATGAATCACCAGAAGAGAGACTGTATGTTGCAAGTTGTGTGGCATGGCACGAGGAACTATAAGTCCTAACAAAAGAACCTTCTAAAGTAATTAGTGCCAATATAGCAATTGTTAAGAAATCCAATTACTCAGTTTTAACAAGCCATCTTTTAAAAAGTCTT